GGAAAATGATTTCTGAAGTACAGAGATGCCCTAACTCATGTGTACATTTAAAATTTACTAGATTTAATCTCTACTTGCCTCTTCTCTGCATATGAGCATTTTAGTGCTGGCCCATCTAAGTATTTCTATCTATAAATTGTACTTTAAAAAAAAAAGAATGGTACATTTTGAACATATGTTTCCCAGGTAAGTCTGAGTTTGGAAACAGGCAGAAAACCTTTATGTTTGTTGTCTTTATTCCATCCTCTCCTTTTTTTCTGCTAAATGCATTGGTTTTCTCCTTTTTCACTCATTTCCTCAGACATCGTTGGCTTTATTATAAATACCCAGCCCTTCTGTAGCTATACAATACATATTTTTACACCTGTTGTGTCTGCTATAATTTCAACTTGATCCTCATCTCCAGTACATAGTACTCAGTAGGACTTCCATACATATTTTTTTAATAAGTTAATGAATGAGTACTCTAAAATCTTGAATACAACTAACTCTTTTTTGCCTTCATGAATATGTTTTCACTATCAGAAAAAAAAAATTTCTCCCATTCTTCATATGGCTAAATTCCACTCATCCTTCAGTTCTCAGTATAAATGTTACTTCCAAAAAAAAGGTCTTTTTTGATCTCACAAATTTAAACCAAGTATTTAAAAATACTCTCATTGTGTCCGGTAATATGTGTAAGTATACATTTATTTTGTGATTATTCGTTAAATGTTTGTCTCTTCTAAGACCCACAAGAACAGAGATGAGGTCTGTTTTGTTCATTGCTGTATCCTCAGTACCTAGAACATAGTAGGCATTCAATTAAATGTTTGTTGAATGAGTAAATACATTTATTTTCTTTTTAGAATATGTCCTAAGAAGTGAATTACTGAGTCTGAGGGTCTGAATATTTTAAGATTATTAATGCATATTTTTGAATGGCTTTCCATATAAGCTGTTCCATTTACATTCCCACCAACAGTGGGAATAAGGGCTTATTGAATTACAATTGCTTTACCTTTGCTAGTATTACTAGTTTTTATTTTTAACTATTTTTATTTTCACCTTCTCATTTGATCAACCAAAAAATGTTTCTTTATAGTTTTGGTTTGTGTGTCTTTGATTATTCATGAGTGGGAACCTTTTTTCCCTCATGTATTTGTTGGCCTCTCATGAAGACTTGTGCTAGCATATTCCTTCCTGGTCTTAACTCTAGTCTTCCCCATCCTTTATCCTGTGATAAAATTAAGTTCTTTAAGACACCTGATTGTCATTTCCCTGCTGAGGAGCCCTTCTCTTAGTGTTGTTGCCTATAGTATCAAAAACGAGCCCACGCAGCTCCTGCCACTCCAGGCCTCCCATGATTCAGACCCTGCTCTCACTGTTCCTCAGTGTAGTAGCATTGATAGTCAGTTGATTCTGCCTCTGTGTTATTTCCCCTACCTCTCTGCCAGTGAATTCTTGAAAGACATAAGGTGGGTTTCATAAGTAGTCTCTTTATGAAATATTTCAAAATTAACTTTATCTGTCGTGATCTTACCTTTATTACCTGAACTTTCCTATTTCACATTTGTTTTTCTGTTGCATTTATGTAGTTCTCTAATTATATTCTGTGTGTCCACCTGTATTAATTATCCGTAGCTGGGTAACACTATTACCATAAGCGTAGTGGCTTAAAACGGGATGCAGACACATTACTATCTCACCATGGTCAGGAGTCTGGACATGCCTGAAGTTGATCTCCTGCTTCAGAGTCTCTCCCAGGCTGTAGTCAAGGTGTGAGTCAGGGCTGGGCTCTGCTGGGAAAGTTCCCCTTCCAGGCTCACATGTTTATTGGCAGCACAGCCCTCAGGGATTGTTGTACGGAGAGCCTTAGCTATTTCCTGGCTGTCAGCTAGAGGACTCGCTCGCTGCAGTGCTGGGTGGGCCTCCCCATGGGGCCTAGACCACTCCCTATAGCGGCTCACTTCAAAGCCAGCCAGGGAGCGCATCTACAGAAAGTCTACTGGCAGACTGGAAGTTACAAACTTGTATAATGTGTTTATAGAAGTGATATCCCATTTCCTTCGCCATATTCTACTATTTAGAAGCAAGTCACAGGTCCCACCCATAGTCATGACATTTATACACAAGGGCATAAATTCTAGGACGTAGGGATAATTGGGGCATTTATCCCTAATTATCTGCCACAGTGCCCAACTCAGTCTCCCTGAACACTGTTTTATATAACTCCTGGGTTTGAGCACCCAAAAGTTACTTCAGAAGGGCTTAGTGAATGGCAATAAATAGGAAGGAGGGAAGTCAGGAGGGACAGGGGAAAGGAATGCCTTTGACTTGTTCTATCAGAAAATTTAAGATGCCAAGATGATGATAAGAATCTATTAGTAGTAAAGAAAAGGCAGTATTTTATTTTCTTACTTTAATTTTAATGTGCTCTTTTTCTCCAAATAATATTTTTGACCTGATAATATGTTTACTATAGTAATAAGGATATAGAGGAAAATGTCAGATAGTATTTTATGAGAAACAGGAAGGTCCTGTCTTCATAGATTATGTTCCCAAAGTTGATTTTTAAATTGGTTGCTTAAGATGTATAGAACTTATCTGCATAGAAACAATGCTTTACATAAGGTTCTGAGAATGGCTCAATTTTAAAAAGCTCATTTATCTTAGAGTCATAAAGGTCCAGAGATGAAAGGGACCTTTAAGATTGCCTAGCGCATAGCCTCCTTAAAACATCCTATCAAATATTTGTGGGAGCCAGCCATGGCCTGGAGGAGAAAATGACTTGTTTTGTAACTCAGCTATGGTGATTAGTGGTAATGGTACCACATGGCATGAGTATGGCTTATAGCCAGTGGTTTTTTTGGTCCTTGGGAGTGGGGTGGTGATAATAATATATTTTGAATTCAGGTTGACAGTTCCAAAAACACCTCTTCTGCCACATTCTAGATTGCCTACAATTTTCCAAACCATAAAGCTAGCCTTAAAGTGTAGGTAT